GTTGATTCTGCATCTGGTTTTATTTACCTTCAGATCCCTCACAAATTGGAAAAGCATCCCAACGATGGCGTCATAAAATGCAAATGTATATGTCACTATAACCATATTTAAGGATGTGTGTGTGTGTGTGTGTGTGTTTGTAGGTGGGGAAGCCGCAAAGCTTTACGCGGCCCAAAAAAGAGCTTTGCATTTGGAGTGTTTTTTCTCTTGTTTTTGGTTGCTGGCAAGTTTATGGAGAGCATTTTATGCACTTTTGCTTTAATGAATGAAATGGAAGTAATTGCATATACAATGCCAGAGGGAGATAGCCATAAAGAGAGAGAGGGATAGTAACGATCTCCTTTGGGCTTAACAACTGACAAGGACACAACCCACAACCTTTTGCACATGGCACTTGTGCAACCAAACGAATCCCTTGCATATCATTTTAATTAATTTAATGTAAGCCCCAGTACGGATCTAAAAACTGCAGATGGCGGGCCCAACCGCATGTGGCCCATTACCACACCCAAAGAAGTACAAGAACAATAATTCGGAGTGTTTTGGGGGCTGGTGCCCGCGGGGCACGACATGACTGGCACATAATACCCCCAGGAGCACTTAAGTGTTGCATATTTGCCAACCATCAATTTCCCCATACACCTCACATATGTTTTATCAACATTTTGTTGGTCTTTTGCCCCCCAATTCTCTCTCACGCCATCCTTGTATAGAAGTTGTGCTGTGCCTAATAGTTGGGACGTCAGTGTGGCTGATTGTATGCGTTAAAAGTGTTGCATACTTCTCGGCGGGCCCTACTTCTGCAGCTCTCCTTTGTCTTTTACTCTTCCTCTTTCTATTAAATAAATTCAGTTTAAGTTTTCCTTTGCCACTCTCGTGGCAATGCAATTAGTAAACTTTTCTTTTCGCCCTCCAAAACTTTCCAACGATAAATGTGAGAGTGCAAAAGACAATTTTCCTTCAAAATTATCACATGTACGCCATGAGGCCATTACCAAAAGTCCAGGAATCACTTTTTGTTGGCCTAATGGCCTACCAGTGTTGGGCACGTGCATTTGCCACGAGTAAAACGCGTTTTTATGGCTGAGCTACTAAATTGTACTTCCCTAGTGGGGGCGAAGGTAAATGGCAGCTCGCTGCGCTGAGCCAGCAAATATCTTTAATGCCATATCATGCACGATTCTATAGAGAAAATTGGTCCGTCCAATCGCATAACATGGAATGTAACATTGGGCATCAATTATGGATTGGGCCGAAGGACAAACACACACGAACTGTGTGTTTTATTTCAACGAACTTTAGTCAATAAATCAAGCTCGAGGCCAATCATCAATTATATATTAGACATGGGTCAGCAAGTGTCATATACTGCTGGCACTGTCGCACTTTCTATATTTCCACCTCCCTCTCTCTCATTCTTTTCGCTCACCTGTTGACATTTTTGCTGTTCTATTTCCGTGCGACAAGCTTAGTGTGTCCTCTACCTCTCTTTCTTCCGCCAGCTGCAGCTCGCCTTCACTCACTTTGTCAGCCCTTTGTGTGCCTCAAGTCTGTTGCTTGCTGTTTGGCTTATTGGCCCTTTGCAATGTGACGTCATTGCTGACTGGCTGTCCATCCGCAGCTCTCCACCCTAGCCCCAACTGAAATTGGCGTCATGCTGGTTGTCTGGCACCCCCGGACAGCGGCGGACTCCTGTTCTTCGGTTGCTGCTAGCGTGGCCCTACTGTAGTTTGCTGTGGCTGGTATTCTCATGTTTACTGAACACGCAACGAACCGCAACCGAACGCAGCTCTGCCCGACCTTATCACAGTCCCCATGTTTAATCGTTTGTCGTGGTTTCGGGTCTAGCTCCACGAGGAGTTCTGCATACCCCAATGAGGTGAGAATAAACAATTTCATTCTATTCCCATGGTTGTGTTTAACCAACAAAAGAAACGATTATTCAGCTGCGACCAAGACGCGTTTACACCGTACACCATATGGATCAGTCATTCATAATTAGCACATTTCGATGCCTTTCCCGTCGTGCCCCAAGTTGCTGTCGGATAAACGCCTCAAATAAAAACATCTAAGGGGAAATTCAAAAGGGGAAATTCGTCGTTCCCCCAACAGGTCTTTGGCTAAATGATTTTCTTTCGATTTGCTTGCAACTTTGAATAATTCATGAAAATTCGTTTCGACCTATGTATACGAGCAAGTAAGACGTTTATATGTATGTACATTTTGTGTATGTTTTTTTTGCCATCGGCCCCCAGATGTTGACTTTGGATGTTGTTTTCTGTTTACTGCCTCCCTTGACTGAGTTATGCATGGATTATTCATGCGAATTTTCAGACTATTCCATATCCTTCAAACTCTTGAAAATGCAGGAAAATTGCAGGGTTTGGGCAGGGGCGAAAACGTGTTTATAGCGCGTAAACGCAGTGATAAATGCCGGCTTCAAACTGCTCTTTCATTAAGTCTCGGGCTAACGATCAAATTAAAGGGAATTACGCTTTACCACTGATGACCAGGCTTACGCTGATGCCACATAAGCGACTGTAAAGCAGGGATTACCCCCTGTATGTGTGTGTGTTTGTGTGGGTGTTTTTGGGCGGTAGGTGGGTTAGCCTGGTGGCACGGGTGGCATGGTTGACGGGGTGGTAATAAGAGTGCTACAATAATGTGCTGCCCCGAAGCTTTCGTTTTAATTAACTGGGTTACCTCTCTGGCGGGGCCATACACTTTTTGGGGTCAAGTAATTACAACTTGCTAGCAAGTCAGCGAGTGCTGCAGCAAGTGGAAACTGTCACTGCAGTGGGAAAGACGCACTCCCGTGTCCTTGCCAAAAATGAAAGCGTACATTCAAGAACTCTGCCCTAACTTCAATCCCAGCTGCGTGTGAGCCAATTGTCAACATGTATGTGTGTGTGTGTGTGTGTTTGTTTGTGTAAACCGGAAGCGCAGCGGCATGCAAAGACGCCATAAATGCCATGACGAACAGCAGCAATGGGCCAAGCGAGTGGCCGCGCGTATTTTTTCGCTCATAACCTGTGCGTGCAGGGGTCAGAGGCTAACCCGTTGGCGAGGTGTGGCTGAAAACTAATCTTCTTTAGTATCAAAAATATTAATAGTGCAGCAAAAACTATAACAAGGCTCTCTCTGTTCTCCGGGGTAACAGATTTATTGGTCGCTTACATTTTGTGTACATGTAACCATGGAAAATATATTTGTATCTAATGGAAACCATTCGTTGCGGTCACTGAAGAGTGTTTCAAGGAGCACATAGATGTTCACTTACGGGCAGCTCTTTGAAGTCTGCAACTATTTATGTCCTCCCTCCCTGTTCGCTTTATCACCTGGCAACAAAGGATGAGCTGTCCCTTGTTGTATGTACTTTAAAGGGCATTATAGCTCTATTAACTAATTTAATTTCATTGCAGAAATACCAACCACAAATAATCTCAATCCCCCCTCGAATGTGGGGGCACAATTTATGCGCAAACTAATTTAGACAAAGCCGCACTCAGGCCGCATAAAAATAGCACGGGCAAATTGGGCTGTGCCTGTGCTGGCTCAGCAGTTGGAGTGGCGCCTCAGTGGCACAGGCAGCAGCATTGTGGCAGCATCAAAGGGAGTCACGTTGGGGCCCAAAGGATGAGGGTTAACTGATTGTGTACGTGAGTATGTTTGTGTGTGCAGGGTCTAGAAAGTGGAGCTGCTTAAAAATATAACCAGCAGCAGCTGTCCCGGTGCTGCCGCCGTTCGAAAGCCTGGTATTCCCGCTACCTTGAAGGCCAGGTGGCAAATCAGTTGTGCAGCACCCCACATCGCCCTCTGCAATGTAGTCAAATGATGGCTTATCAATGGGTTGAGCAACACTTACACATCCTGTCACATCCGTGCCAGAGAGCGGCTTGGAGAGGGAGTCAACTAGAGTGTGTGTGCTTGAAAGTGCTCGACGGTGGTGTTTGTGAGGTCACCAAGGTAAATGCATTAAATTGTTGGTGCCACAGACGTCGCGTCCTTCGCTGCTCGCTGGCTCGGGTATCTCTTTAGGTTTCTCATCGCATTTAGGACTTTCATTGGCTTGCTACTGCTCCTCCCGCTCCTTCTGCGTCGCCTATTTTTCTATGGTAGGGCCTGGTTATGCTTTCAATGGTGTTTCCCTTTGCGGTTTTGGCCAAATTTGCTTCTACAACACTGCACTGCACTCGATTAAACGTTTTCTTTTTAAACACACACGCAAGATGAATGGTCCGGTTGGGGGTGCCAGGCGAGGTCGTTCCAGGACTCTGCGTTCGGAATGGGGGAACACTCTTTTACAGAACGCGCGTTTGCTTTCACTGAATGGCGCGTCCGCGACGTCGTTGCTCCATCCGAATTTGTGGAGAGATTTTGCGCAAATGAGTGCATGGCGAGAGCTTTTGGACGCTAGGGCTGTGAAAGCTTTCGCCTGAGCGCCTGGGTGAGTAGTTTGTGGATAGGGTGGGAAGGCAGAGCCAGAGAGGAACTCTGGCCCTTCAAATAGGATAAACAAGCAAAAGGTAAACACTAATGTCAACAACTTGACTTGTTAAATCGGAGCTTTAACATATTGATAAAAAGCCAAGGAATTTTGAAGCAGTTATTAATACAATTAATCAAAATAAAACATGCTTCACACTATCGATATGCCTATGCTACAAAAGCATAGTTCAGTACCAAAATATGTATGCCAACGAGTGCGTAGGGAGAGAGGGAGAGAGCAGGTAGATCACACTCTCTGCCAAAAGATAACGCGAATAAGCTTGAGCCGAACATGAAGCCGAGGCTGGGCTGATCAAAGTACGATTTACATAGGGTGGTGCATTGTCGCTGTGTATTACTCTTTCTCTCTCTCCGTATGTCTGCAGTCACACGCGCAAAACATATTCTAGGCCATTGGGAGAGCGCGCTCTCACCTTTCCCCAACAGACCTTGTGCCGATCCCTCGGCAGCACTGCGGCGAACGGAGCGCCAGCGCAAACGATTCCAGCACCGTTTGCTCAATCACTCGGGAGTTTTTCAGCCGCATGGGACTTGCGCTCGTTGGCCTTCATCAGACTGCATGCAGATTGGGAAAGTGTTCTCCAAAGTGATTTTTGTGCTGTAATTCTATTACATCCCCAATTAATAATCAACTATTTTGTGAATACTGAAGACTTGCGGCTGGTTCGAAAGTCTCTTCCATCGTACAGCGAGGAAACAAAAGTTTCAAGAGGGACTTCAGCAGAGGCAGAAAGAAAGAAAAAGACCGGTAAGTAGAGGCATGCTTTTGTCGGGCTCTGCGCTTAGTCCGCTGCTTCTCCGTGCGCCATTGCGTGGAAACTACCGTTATCAGTGTGTAGGCGGGGTCAACGTCGCAGTTAGTTTTTGCGCCTTGCACTTTATACTTTCGCTGCAGTTCGTCGCTCTATCTCTCAGTCCTCCTCTTACTCTTACTCTTACTCCTCTCTGCACTGCACCATATTCTTCTGCACATCTTTTGAAATCTCGTTACACTGTACAGCACAGTTCTGGATGTTACGTACGTGTGCTCTGAGCGTATGTATGAACGTATGTGCTTTTTTTTTGCATTTTCGATACACTTTGATCCCACGAAACAAATTTTGATAATTTTATTATTTTTGCTGTTTGATTGTACTTTCGCGTACTTTCTGGGCGATGCAATAAGCGCTATAAATACATAAAAAATAAATAAATCAATGTGACGCTTGTGTAATTGTATTTTATTGACCGGATTTCTTTCATATACAAATTAATAAGATTACTTGCTATGATTGATTGGATATAATGCAAAACATAATTGTAAACTAATTAAAAAGAAATCAGCTGAAACAACATCATAGAAGCACGTGGGAATATCATTTAATATTCTGATTATAATATTAAATGTAGGTAAATAAGTCCTGGAATACTTCCTCTTAATCATACATGTACAATGTGTATGTGTATTGATTTACTGATAACCTCGCCTAGAACATTATCAGAGCTACTCATAACCTCCCACACCATCACTTCAAGACATCTTCCCAAACATGTCTCACGGTCGCAATCGGCGCTAGAAACTATTCTTGGCGATTCCATCTGCTTCCAAGCGGAATCGTACAAAGTTCAGATTTTCTAATTCTATAATACTTAATTTGTTTTGATTTGTATTATTTTTTCGTAGCTTTTTGTTGCTTTTGCTAATTTTTTGTCGTTAGTCATAAAGTAATCGTAATATATGTACATACCTAGCTCTAATATAAGTTTCGCCAGACTAACGCGGTGCTCAAAAGTGGAAAAGTGCGATGTGCCGATGTGGAGCGATAAGCGGATCCACTTTCAGTTGCACGGACAGACGGCAGAACTGTCTCAAGTCTAGTGTTAGAAATCCGGGGCATAAGGTATTCGGGTTGCTTGGCTTTTAATCACGCGGAACGAAGGCGATCTCACTGCCCGATTTGTACCTTAACGATCCTATAGTAATTAGCTAAAATCTGTTGCGCCATAAAATGGAAAACATATACATACATACATATGCCATGGCATGGCATATAATCAGAACAAAAAGTAAAAGTTAATAAAATAAGATGTACATAAATCACACGCAGTCGTAGCATCAACATGGCGCAGGAGACAGAGGCAGCAGCGGGAGTCAAGGGTCAGCCCCGAGACCATATCGACGAGGATGAAGTCAGCGAACTGCAGCGGCCACGCAGCTTTTACGACGGAGTGCGAGAGCAGGCCGAACGCTTTGCCAGCACGCGCCTGGGCCAGTTCATGATCGAAAGAGGAGATCGAGCGCTTCGGATGATCGAGGACACGGCCAAGTGGAGTCTGCCGCAGGGTAAGAAACGAATGCTGCTGAGAGAATTCCCAAATAACTTTTACCCCAATTCGAAATTCACAGAAAAGTCTGCTGATCCCTTGCAACGTCCGCTTCCCTGGGGACCGTTCCTTTTGCTGATCATTATGCTGCGTCTCACTCGCATGTGGTTGTCAGTGGGCGCATTGATGATAGGCAACAGCCCCATCTCCCCCTCGGACATGGTGTACTTCATTCAGACCAGACGCCGGAAGTTGCGGGCCATTCGGGTGCACGGCCTTAAGGTGATGCGACAGCGCCAGCAGGAAGTGTCCTACGGCAGTGGCAAGGGCTTGACCCAAAAGCTCACCCAGTGGTTTTCCCGGGCAATGTGCCGACCTGGAGTGCAGAGGGCCAACAGCGGACGACTCTTCCAGGTGCGAAACATGGAGCAGGTGAGTCCTGGAGACATTCCACAGAAAGAGGTAGAGAAAGTTAGTGCCATGTCCATTCGCAGACAACACAAACCAGTCCGGCTGTGATGAAGCGCCCGCGTGAGGAAGAGGCGAACACTGATGCTGATGCCGATCACAACCTTACCATCGATCAGATGCTGGCCAAATATGCCCAGGAGAACTCGGAAGATGACTCCGACTTCGTGCCCAATCCTGATGAGGAGGAGGAAAGCAGCGACGGCACCAGCTCCGAGTCAAACACCAGCGAGGAGATCAGCAGCGATGAGGCAAACGAAAATGCCGTTCAGGTGGGATGTCACATATCCATTTTCTTGTCCAGGATTGTCCTTTAACTTTGATTCTTCCCAGGCCACTAAAAAGCCTCCAACTCTGGTGGTGGAAAACGGTGTACACAAGGCGGAGCCCAACGAGAGAAAAGACAAGGAGATGGAGATGGCAAAGGAAAATGACAAGGGAAAGCTGAGCGCCACGACAACGAGCAACGGCGGCCAGAACAAGGAGCAGGCGGAAGTTGGTAATGGACATTGAACTGTTATTAAGACGCTCGTGCGTAGCCCCCTAAGTCTAGGTTAACACCAGTATCGAATATCGATTAAGCGTAGATGAAACTGAACTTGAAACGTTGTCATGAAATACAAAACAATAACGATACCAATACACAATACTCCCGAGATCGATTCAGTCATTGCTAGAGCCAGATCTGAGAGGATCTCCAAGTAGATCTTGGCCATATCCATCCTCCATTCAACAGTCCATCCATCAATCCATCCATCCATCCTTCCAATCATCCATCCGTCATTCAGTCCAGCTTTGCAGCTTACGAAAATTCCAAATTTACCTTAACCGTTTTGTGAGTTTGGCTTTGACCTTCCGTTAGCTTCCTGATTCCCTGACCTCGTATCTCTCTTTCTTTCTCTCTCTCTCTCTCTCGTCAATGAATGATTCTTCCAGCAGGTGGGGCCAGGCTGGAGGAGGACAAGTGGAAGTCCTCGCCGGGACACATGAGTGCTGCCATGACGAAAATGCAATTCTACAACAACACGGCAGCTGCAGGTAACTCACGAGCTACTCGCTCCCCCTTGATCGTACTTTCACCGACTTGATCGCGTGCTCCCAATTAACATTTTAACGTTAGTATTTTGTCTCTGCTTCTGTTACTCCGTGCATGTGTTCAAAACCAACAGCCAGCACTGAAGCTGCAGCCCCATCCGAAACCGAACACGAACCAGAACCCGAACCCGAACCCGAATCCGATCCCACACCTCATCCTAAATCCCAGTCCCACGACGAGTCAGAAGATGACGGCAGCAGCACGAGCAGCGGAAAAACCGGATGCACAGTCTATAAAAGAGAAATTGCATCCGCAGAGACGACCCAGCCAGATTCCCAAACCGAACAGACCAGCGAAGTGGCTGACACACTAACTACCCAAGTATCCAACTATCCCACAATCGACACACTAACTCCAGCTACCTCTTCCGAAGATATATTCTATAGTCCAATCGGTTGGTCCCTCGAAAATATCCACAAATTTTGCATGCTTTTTGTTCTATATTTATATATATATATATCTCTTTGTCTGTATACAATTATATTAACTGTATTAACTGTAAATATTGTTGCCGTTACAGGTTCACCCACCTTATTCAATACCAGCCTAGGAACTCAAGCTCTGCTGAAGAGTGCCAGCATTCAATCTGTCTTGGGTGAGGCTTATGTTCTCTTCTGCCTATGCCCTAGCTAATTTGTTTCTTTGATCAGCACACTCCACTCCCACCTTGGAACTGGAAGATGTACCCTCTGAACCAGCTTCCCATCAGCCTGAATCCGAGATGCCTCCTTCTCAGCAGAAGCAGCCACATCAGCAGCCACAGCAACAGCAGCGACAGAATAACTATTCCCACCAACGCTATCGCGGACGTAACCGACGCTAGGCGATGATACATCCTATCCTACCTATATACATTTCCTACTTTTTTACATTCCCATATTGTTAGTGAATACTGCGAGTAAATCTCTGAACTCAATCGACAGTCTGTACTTGAGCATAGGCATGATATCACAAGGATTCTTGAACACCCTCGACGGGCTCGAGCTTGAAGCGGATGTCGCCGCAGGGCGACAGGATAATGGTGCTCTCGTACTGCAGAGCAGTATCGGGCAGCCAGCTGATGTGGTAGCGACGCAGCAGGCGCACCAGGAGCGTCTCCATCTCCAGCTCGGCGATACGCTTGCCGATGCAGGTGCGTGGTCCAAAGCCAAAGGGAAGGTACACAAACGGATTGCGGGTACGGGCCTCTGGACAGGCCTTGACATCGGCAGCCATGTCTGACTTGAGCCAACGTTCGGGCATGAAGTCGGCACTCTGGGCAAAGTACTCATCGCTGTTGGATAACTCCAAAACGCCCATTAGGACGCCCGTGCCACGAGGCACTTGGTAGCCGGAGAGCACCAGATCTTTGGGTGTGATGCGAAAGTTGCCAGGTGTGATTGAGGTGATGCGTAGTCCCTCCTTGATGCAGGCCCGCAGATAAGGCATGTTCTTGGTGCTCTCGTCGGTCAGCGAGGCCTTGGAATCGGGCAGGATGCGAAGCAGCTCACGGCGCAGCTGATTTTGTTTTTCGGGATTGCGCGCCAAGTGATAGAGAATCGTAACAAAGGCAGAAGAGGTCTGGAAAGATTCGAACTTGGTCATTAAGAAATCTTTATATGGAGTATTAATTCCACCAACCGTATCGATTCCGGCCATTAGCATGTCCATGACCATCACAACGGCCACCTGCTTGTTGAGTGCCAACAACTGTTCCAAAACGCATTTCGTTTTGCGCCCATCATCGATCTCAAAGCGTTGAATGGCCTCCTCGATGTAGTTGGTGGTGATCTCTGTGATGTCGTCGTATGTCTTGAGGAACCGCTTGAAGCCCCGCGTCTTGTAGTAGGGCCAGATTGAGGGTTGCACATCGTACTGGAAACTGTAGTTGAAGAAATCGCTCATATGCCCGGCCAGGAGAGCGGCATTCGGATCCGGTTGATCGCTGAGCAGACCCATGCGTGTGTTTAAGGCCACAAAGCTGATCGACTCAAAGGCCCAGTTCTTGAGCTGATCATGAAAATCAGCCTGTAGCAAGTGGGTTTCCGGATCTCTCTGGCTTTCCAGTCTGAAAAGAGAGTTGAACTCTACATAAGATATTTTATATTCTGCGGAGAATCTTCCTACTTGTCAATGAACTCCTTTGCTATCTGATCCAGCTGCGGCAGATTCTGTCGGACATTCTGGACTTTCATGAGCACTGGATTCACCTTGTTGCGGATGTCTGCCCAGTCCTTGCCCTGTCTTAAAATGGACACAATGATAGAAAGTGAGCCACAAGTCTAATGGACTTTGTTCAGACTCACTCTGATACCAGGCCACCGATGCCACCAAAAACATCCGGTCGCTTCACCTTGCGGTAGTAGCTGAAGCTCTCCAGGCCGATGCGAATGGGCCACACACCCTCATTGCGGTAGGTCAGCTCAAAGTCCTCTGGATTGTATGTGAAGACAACATCTGCCTTGCCCATCAACCCGGGCAAGCGATAGATATCCCCGTACATCTCCCTGAGGCGACGGTTCATCTGAATGAGGTTTGTGTTGTGCAGCTTGCCTGTGGGTCAATAACAACCTATAGAGAACGTTTTAAATGGTATATTTCTAGTCTTACCGCCTGGCAAAAAGTAGGACAGCATACGAAAACCATTGGGTCCGGGTAGCTCCCCATAGGGCCTTGCCTGCTGCCATCTCTCATCGGTGCGCGGCAACGACGTATCCAGCAGTTCCAAGTGGGTCTGTTCATAGGAAATGTTTACAGCGTTGTTTGTAAACAAATTGTGCTCTCTGAAAGCTCGACAAGCTTTCGCTCTCATTCTTTATCTATCGCTCAGGCTGTCTCGCTCGCTCGCGCACTCACCTGCTGACCAAGTGTCGCACCCAGGGACAGGTTTCTGGCGTTAAACAGCGGATTGGCTGAACTTTGGCGCCGTACTGTTTTCATAGTAGTTTTCCACATCATTAGACAGACACATTCAACAACTACAACTATTAATATTAGTTATAGTCCAATAAATAAAGTAGGTACAAATGTAACTAAAACGTGGAGCAACCCGTTGACAAACAGGCAACAATTGAAACTGAATCACAGGCCAAGCGACAAACTTTCTTATTATACTTAGATTGAGCTTTCTCTCTGTCAATTTGATTGCGGCCGGTGAAAGCTTTTCATACCCAATAGTCGTAAATGTGGCGGGTATGTCCGCTCGAAGAATGAAAAGCATTATGTGAGCTGATAGTTTGATTAATATTCGGGTCGAACCCGCACTTGAGAGGCAGCGGTGTATACTTTGGTGTCAAATGTATTTAGTTGGGGCCATTGTTCAGGTCTGTTACATGAAAGCTTGTTGCTGCCCGTCAATTCTTGTAAGCTTGTCATGTAAATTGTAGAATATAATGGCCGTTACATGTACATTTCTAAAATTGGAAGGCTGAAGTTTCAAGTGTCAGGATGCTTCCGCCAGACTATATCCCGCTGAATATTTAAATTCTTATATTTTGTTTGAATTACATTTATTTATTGCATGCGGTAAAATGTTCCATAGCTTAAAATGTGTTTTGGGTTGGTTTTCTTATAGTTTTGTTGAATTTATTTACGGTCTTGTTTGGTTTTCCTTTCGGTGATTCTTTTTGTGTTGTTTTGTTTTTGGTTTTTGCTTTTTTTAATACTTTTTGTATTTATGTACATTGAAAGTTTGAATAAGTTGCAAAGAGTTTTGAGTTATAGTTAAAGTTAAAGTTAAAGAAATAGAGTTGATTTTTAAGGTACATTATAGTTTTTGAGTTTTGCACGTTCAATTTAAGTAGACAATACATCAATAATATCAATATATCAATATCAATGGAGGATCTAGAGTTGAGTTAAACTTTTGATATGTATTTGGTATGCAATTGGCGTAGTTCAAGTTTAAGTTCGAGGACAAAATGCAACTACAAATCGCTCTTAAGTTATACTCGTATATATTATATATATATATATAATTTGTTTGCTATAATTAATATACTTTGAAAATGGAAATGGTTGAGATTTCCACTCGGTTTCTGGTTAAGGTTTTCTTCATGCGTTTCTTTCTTCTCTGTATAAAAATATAAACAAATTAGAAATGTTCGTTGTCTTTGCTATAATATTTTGGTTTTTGCTTGGGTTGTATTTTTCAGAATCGAGTATAAATCATTTTGTAAGAAACAAATAAGAGTAAAACATTCTGCGGAGGACCTTCAGTCTTGCTTTTGAATTGATATTGCTTGGTTAGTTTCATTCCATTCGTGGTTCCTTTGTCATTGAGAGATCAGCATGGGGGCGATAGTACGGTACAATTACATATCGTGTATAAGGAAATGTCTGTAAAAACAAGGCTTATAAATCTCATAGTCTATTTCCTGTTCTGTTTAGTACTGCTATTAAGCGCTAGTCGAGTTCTGTGCTGAAGATCCCTTAACACTGGCACACGAACCAAAGGGGGGAGGTACCTCTATTCATACGAGTATGTCTGCATTTATGTAAGTATGTATATCTGGGATATAAAAGGAAATTGGATTACCATGTAGAGTGTTATCCTAAGTAGTTCACACTGAGTTTTGATATGCTTACGAAGTGTTTAAACATTAGCTAAATCGCTGATATGTATGTATGTTTGTATGTGTATATTTTGGGATTATCTATAGGTAGAGTTCGCTCTTTAGGAATACAAAATAATCTGGCTAAAAATGCATTAAAAAACTATCCATAATAAACTTACGCACTATGTGGGTGCAGTTTACTCATCTATTAAGATAGCTCTAGGCTTCTTTTTTGTTGTTCTCTTTGGTTTGGGCAGTGCATCATTAATCTAAGATATGTTTGTATGTTTGTTTGTTTTTACTCTGCTAAAAGTTTTGTCTACGACGATTCCATGACACTTCGCACGCTAAAAACTAGTTCAAAATCAAAATCATTTACAATTAATTTGATGCTTACACGCTAAGATATGTTTGTGTATATAATTATATATCTGTATCTGTATAGTGTATATGTATATATTTGTTGTATATTTTTGCGCTGACGATTGCAGCTGATATGTTTCGATTTCATGGTTGGTTAAGCCACCGCGATATGTAACATGACGTAAAAATGGCATTAGTTCAATTATGTTAGTACAAATGTATATATGTACATATGTATGTATGCTACATACATATTTATGTACTCTAGATTGATGATAGTTTTAGTTTTGTGGTTGTTTCCATTTGCACACATTTAATTCAGCCGACTGTTAGTCTAAATACATTTTTAATTTCCTCATCTCTCATGCGAGATTTCCATTACTCTCTGTCTCTGTCTCTGTCTCCCTCCCTCTCTCGCTCTCCCTCTCTATTTTTCTCCTCTTTCGGTTGCAATCATTTTCAATTTGTTCTATGCTTATATGCTATAAAATCACATTTAGTTTCTTAATTAATTTTTATGCTCTCAGACACTCGGTACACACACTCATCGGGCTGATAGAGAGAGAGACAGCGAGGGAGAAAGGTAAACACACATAAATACCGTACAAAACAGTGTGTAACCTTCGAACAACATGTAGATATTGCTTTTATTTCGCTATATAATGTGTGCACCATACATATTCGTATGTATGGGCCTCAGATATGTGCTTCTGTGGAGACCGAGTTCTGCTTCCATTCACATTTTCATGGCCTGCTGCACATCGAAATGCGTACAGTTTTTTTCCCCTTCTTGTTCTTTTTCTCATTTCCTTTCTCTGATGCGAAGGCAAATTTGCATGCGTGGGGGAGGGGCATGGGTGGACAGGGCGGAATTGAAACTGGTGGGCTGCGGGAAATGGGAATGCAATTTTTCAATACGCGCGCATAATTGAACTGTCAGAGCTGCTGCTGGCTGGGCTGGCTGGGTTGGCTGTACCCCCCTCTTCGTGAAACTTCACAAAATATACAACGGGTAAATTGTGCCATGCATTTCCTTCTTTTCTTTCTGCTGGAGTTGCCGTTGCCGCCTCTGCTGCGTGTAATTAAAATTGCTGCACCAGGAGTTCATAGGATTGACCACTGGCGGGCAGATTTATTTGCTGGGATGTTGCTGTCGATGTTGCACTTCGCACTGCACACACTGGTGGTTGTGTGTCCCACAGTCCATGTTTCTCATTTAGGATTTCTGCGGCGCCTACTCCTCGGGCCAGCCGAGATCCTCGCCAACCAGCTCGTAGAAGCGTTGATTGTACTCGGCAAAGAATCTGCGCAGACGGGAGACCACCACGGGATCCACATGTGGATGCTTTCGTCCCTTGGTCTCGCGCAGGCAGCGATCTCCGTTGTCATAGCGCAGGCAGTAGAATCCCTTTGTCTCGTTGAAGTAGAAGTGCTCGCTCTTCACACGATGCTCAATGCCTGGGAAAGAGAAGAGCATTCAAATGGAATCCCGCAGAATATGTGACAATTACTCACCTAAGAACGCCTCGATGCGCCTCAGCTGTGAGACTGGGTCCTCGATGAGTCGATCCCCATTTACCACCAGCAGCTGTTCGCGCGGAAAGACCTCCAGCCAGCGGTGCAGATGGACATGGTACATGGATATGCTGAGCGGTCGATAAGCCTCGTTAACGGTGCCATTGGGAAATATGGCCAGCTCCTCAAAGGACCTGCAAAGTGGCAAAGAAGTGGGGAAGGGGAAGAGGAGAGCTTTAAACTTTTCTCACGGGCAAAAGCGAAAAAGAAGGATTGCAAATTGAATCGGCAACAGCTGCAAATGAGCAGCCTCGGTCCTGCCTCAGTCTACAGTTCATTTTTCCCTGCCACGCCCCTGCCCCTGGCCCTGTCTCCACAAGAAGCAACTTTCCATGGCAGAGCGACTGGCATGGGGTGAGCCAAGGACAAGCGTCGTCGCAGTTTGGGCAACTTTCATTTGCAGTTTGCATTTCATTTGCATGCCAAGGAGCCCCGAGATGGGAACAAGAATGGGACTGGGTGTGGGAATGCGTCTGTCACTCACTTGGCTGCCATTTGGGCGGCACTTGCCAGCGGCGATGGTGTTGTTGTGGTCATCGTCCCACCAGCTGCCGCTCCAGCGCCGGTCTGCCGCCTGCCCGCGGCGCTTAACTTTGTTTTTGTCTCCTTGGCGCCAGCGCCACTGCCACCGAGGAGGGCATTGTCATAGCCATGAGCCGCCTGCAGCTTGGCATACAGCAGCGACTGTGATGGCATCTTGGGCGGCTGGGCGGATGCACCACTGCCGGAGCTCTCCCGCTCGGCCAGCGGCAGGATGGCAGTTGCCGCATGACTGCGCAGCTGGGTGTAGTCCGAGATGGCTCTGGTCACTGGCTCCCGCACAATCAGCAGCAGCTTGATGCTCGCATTCATGGCCCGCACTCGCTCCGGCACCTGCAACGAAAATGGTGTGAATTTTCGACATAAATTCAAGTAGAGAGCAAGCTCAATGAAGGGCACTAATTACACGGGGAGGTTGTGTATCCCAAAATTCAGTCTGTCTGAATATTTACAGCAGTTTTCAGAGCTTTCAAGTTATTTAAAGATATTTATTTTATAACTTGCGGTCGATATTTCTCCTCAATGGAACCTTTAATTTGCTGCATAGTGTAGCAGGCTGGGCACACCCCTGCTGCTGCACTTCCGCAACCAGTGTGCTGTGAACAATTTAATTAAGCTGGAAAATATTGCCGTACAATGAAAGAGGCAGGCAGGCAGGCAGGAAGGCATGCCCCAACGACAGGCCCGGCAGCCAGCGTCACCCTCCCTTAAAGTCCTTGAATCTGCCACGTTGAACGTTGAGTATAAATAGCCTCCCAAATGGGCGAAACGAGCCGAGAAAATAAACTTAATCAATTTCAATAAAAGCCTCTCTCCCCACCACGGGACGTGCAACAAGTTTCACAAGTTGTTGTAGCTCTTTCAGAATTATTCACCTTGATGAACCATTTACTGGTGTCCTCTGGTGGGAATTTTGTATTCCCTTTAACCTTTAATGTGGGCAAAATGCATTTGACGAAAAATGTCACATGGAAATGCGTGCGCTGCAGCTCCCGGGGGAGGAGGAGGACAGGCAGGTCCTGGCTGAGGCCAAAGCACACCCCGGAGACTTATATTATTTATGGCTAGGGAAGGAAGCGGCAGCAATGCATTCATCCACTGGATGCTAATTTGACATTTCCGCAGAGTTTTCAAGGGAGAGAGAGAGAGAGAGAGAGAGAGCGAGAAGAGCATTAGCTGACGATGCACGGCCCCGAGATGCATCCGCTCTCAATAAATATTAATAAGAGCTTTAATGAAGATTTATCCAACGCACTCTTTGGCACTAGCGACGTGCAACCTGCTGCCGCTGTTGCTGCATAACAAATTGAAATGGTGCATCAGTCTGCACACACAGACGGGACGGGACGCACACGGCAGTTAACAGGAAAATTGAAACGGAACTGGGGATAAAATATTGCCCTGTCAGTGCTAGAGCCACCCCTGGCCTACACTTTCCACTCCCACCCGTTGGAGTGCTCTCTGCAAGTGACACATGCAACTTCCGGCTCGTAGCGAAATTGCATCAGACAAACCCAATTTTGTGACACTCTGCGGGCACAGCAGCGGCAGCAGCAGCAGCAGCAGCAGGAAGCAGGAACAACAAAAACTATAATAAAAGTTGGCCAAAGAGCGATTCCACTTGGGCATTAGATGAAGCCGTTTGCCAAATGAATTTCCGCACAGGGGGAGCCCCAACATGTCCACGGAAATTGGCTGGGACCTGGTCGAGCGTTTCATTTTAATTTGATAGATGGATCGACAGACAGACAGACGCCCAACGTCGAGGAGGAGGAGGCGGAGCAGAAGCAGCGCCAGGAAAAAGGTGAACGCCACCACCTAGCCGGCAGGCAGTTAATTAATAATTACGGTAGGATGACAGTTAGGCCCGGATCCAATGCAGCACACACCTAATTGGCAATTAGAGATCAAAGGGAAATCACTCACCTCTGGCGAGACAAAATAGCTGGGACTCTTCTCGATGGTTATCTGGCCGCGGAAGGAGTGCGGCATCTTCTTGCGATACCATTCCAGGCCCTTCAGGTAGTTCTCATCCCGATCGAAGAAGTGCACCTCGCCGCCGGCCTTTTGGATGCGCGGATGCAGGTAGAGCATCTCCAGCAGTGCCCTCGTGCCGCACTTTCGCACACCAATTATGAGGGCCTGGCTCCAGCCGGAAGCGAAAGTGAAAGGAAATCAAATGAACATCCAAATGCCATTGGGCAGCAATTAGTAAGAGACACACACAAAGGGCAGAGGTCTGGGACTCACCTGCGGCAGACGACGACTGGTTTTGGGAAAGTGCACCCGACTGGAGGGAAAGACCATGGGATGGCTTAGCTGATTCGCGCTGGGCACTGGCTTCACGAAAGCAGGCAGATGGTTGGATGACGAAGCGAACGCGGAGGAGGAGGAGGAGGAGGAGAAGGAGGAGAAGGAGGCGCCACTGGCCGATGAAGATCCGGATAGGGCTGATGCGGAGGCGGAGGCTGCCAGCGAGAGGCGATGCCTTTCGTGTACAGCCTGGGCGGCCTGGATGTTGTACACGGCACTGTCGTACAGCACGTGGAAGGTGAGGAACAGTGAGATCAGCATGACCGTGAGGAAGACGACGGCAAGCTTTGGACGGGAGACGCCCACCACCAGGATGCAGTCCGTGTGCGAGGCATCAGAGCCCACCGGTCGCATCGCAGACTTTGGCAGCCATCTGTAAGTGAAATGAAAGTGAGTTTGTGATTTAGTTGCCCATCCGTGCATGGTCTGCCAAGCGGTAGTCCTACAGCTACCCTATCGTACTCTGTGTCGCCTGGTAATTAGATTGCCATTCCATAGCTGCCGAGTAATTAACGCTGGGACGGGGCACAGCGAACACGAAACACATGCCTCAACCCTGCTGCCCTACCCTTTGGTGTGGCGAAATTAGCAAGACGACACTTTGCCGTGTTCTGGCACTCGTCGTCAGTCTTCAGTCCCCATTTTCGCCCTCGTCCGGCAGCGCTTAAGCGAATTCCATTATAAACGTTTCCGCTTAGACCGCAACAAACACTGCCAGCATTATTATGAGCAGCATACTGGCAACACATCAGGCAGCAGGAGCACTCAGAGTAGGAGCAACCCACGGAGCAGGAGCAGTGGCACTAGGCGTATACGTAACGTTGCCTAATGGATGACTTCATTTGCAGCATGCCGCAGCTGTGCAGGCTACAGGACACAGAAGGCAGAAGGCAGAAGGCAGGGGTGCAGTGGCATTAGCAGGTGACAGAAGAAGCTGCTGCTGGTACCGTCAGTCTGCAGCTAAGTGCATTTTCATATACAAGAAAGGGGCAGGGACTAGGATATGTGTGGCAACAGGCAGTTTCCTCACGCTCTCAACTCTCACCACTTGTTCGAGTTTCGCATGCGACACCTCGTTAAAAGTAACGACACACTGTGCCACAGGCCCGCAAGGAGTCGAGTCACTTCACTCGACGGCACCGTTTGTGGCGCACGATGCAACCTCAGAGCGAGACCAAACTGACTTCTGCCACACGGCCGCCCATCTCATTCCACACATTCGCTGTGCCCCATTTCATGTCAGTACCGGCTACCCCCGCCGCATGCTTCCTCTCGGCGACTTGTCGACATGCTTTAAGTCCGCCATTTCTTTATGCCCTGTTGTTTTTTCCTCCGTTCGAAGGAGCAGCAGGAGCAGGCAGCTGCAGTAACAAGCAGCCGTCGACGTCGGGACTGCGACTGGCCTCGTTTCACGCCCCATAGGGCTTCGGGCCGCCTGCCACTTGACTGCGATCTGCATAAATGCGGCTCCCCCCTCTTTTCTCTGCTGCTGCTGCAGCTGGTGCCTGCCACTGCTGTCACACTCTTTCTGTGGCAGGCTTTTAGCTTAAAGCATTACGCTTTAAAGGCGACGCCGGCTCGGTGCCCACTAATCCTGACAAAACTGGCAAAAGTCTCCTTGCTTTTGCTTTCTATTTCTTTTTTCTTTTCTCCCTTTTTCTTTCTTTCTTTTCTGTGTTAAGCGCCGTTCTGGCCCTCCATTTGTCCCCTCTTTCGCTGGGGATTTAACTTCCTCCCTACCTCCCTCCATCTTAAGCTCTTTGAGCAAATATTTATAATATTCTGATTCATTTTCTCTGGAAAGAGCGTCTGGGGCATGAAAATCGAATCGAGCAAATGTTGTCCCGTTAAAGTTAATGCAATTTTCATTTGGCGTTGTTAAAATGTAAATTTTATTAAACCATCCAGACGTGCCACAGAGGCCAGCGCCCACGTACGCCTTAATCCCCCCGGGAGAGCGACAGTTTGACCTTCTCTTTTGCTGTGTGGATGTTCGTTCCACTTCTTATCGCATTCGAAAAAAAGCGAATTGAACCCCAGAAGGGAGCCCCCCAAATGATTTGTTGGCTCTACTCGTACTCACAGGATATCCAGCGGCAATTTGACAGAGCAATCGCGCAGTGTCGCCTGATGAGGATTCGTGTGCTGATGAGGGTGCTGCTGCTGCTGAGGATGTGAGTGCTGCTGGTGGTATTGCTGTTGGTGATTGCCGCCTCCCCCGACACCGTAGTGCTGATGGTGGTGGTGGTGGTGGGGATGCTGCAGCAACTGCTGGTACTCATGGTGTTCCTGTGACTGCGAGTCCCCATCCTGTCTGGGTAGATGCTGTGGCTGCTGCTGCTGCTGCTGCTGAAGGGATTGCTGCTCGTTGCTGGTGCTGGTGCTGCTGCTGCTGCCCGCACGTCTTTTGGCCGCAGTCATCAGTGAGGCAGCGGTGTACCGGGTAGTACGTTCAATGGAGCCCAAATGATAGCCGCTCGTGGCTGCTGCAACAACTAATTGGACAGTGTCGTTGCTCCACTCAATCTTTGCAGCGGAGTAGCAGCATGCAGCATGGATGGGGGCATGGATTTATGGCCACCACCCGCCGCCACGCCACGCCACGCCACGCCTCTTGGGCAATCGCCCTACTTTGACTCGTTGTCTCGGACTCCGGCTCGTGTTCCGGCTTTTTTGCGCTTTAATTAAATTCCAGCAGATTCCAGCTGGGAGAATTTGTAATCGGAGTTTCGCCTGTTACTCGCTCACTGACGCGAGCAATTCAGATTGGCCAGCAGCAGTGGCTGGACTCACTGGGGGCGACATGTAGCGCCTCATTTCCGTTCGGAACACACAAAGGGGAACGTTTGAGTGTGCTTTGGCATTCCCATCACCATCACCAACAGCAGCAAAATCATTATCATCATCATCATCAGCAACATCAACATCAACATCAACATCCCTTGGACAACATCCAAGTTTTGACCTTATTGTTGTTCCGTAATTAGATTTGTTGCTGCCTCCGATGCTGCTGCTGCTGCTGCTGCTTCTGTTGTCCCTCGTTCGATCCGGAGTCAGTTCTGCCTCCAACTTTGGTGTTTGTTCTGTAAAGGCAGCTGCAACAGAAGTTGCTCCTGGCACTGGCTGTGCTTTTGAACCTATTGTTGTTACTTGTGTTGGCTGGGGCCATTGTCTGGGTCAGCGATTTCCACGAGCCTCAAATCAACTGCAAAACAAAACAAAAGATACGGGAAATAGAGGAAAAGGTGATTACAAAATCCAAGGTTGTGCAAAATCAATATGATTAGCATAAACTTATAATTCGATTTAGTTAAGTAAATGATCGAAAGTGCCAGCAGCACACACAGCCGTTGATACGCTGCTCTATCGTGGAGCAAAACTCGTAGCATATCTTTCCTGTCTTCCTGGTTTCTTCCCTTAGTTTAAGTTCACCATCTGACCTGACCTAGAGATAGGACAGACAGACAGACTCGTGCGTACTCCTCTTTAATGTGGAATTAGAATTTCCCAAAATTTGAAAGTCTAATCGAAAGTCTGTGCCTGAGAGCTGATAGGGAGGTATGAGGAATTAGTAATCAGCTCTCTGCAGTTTAGCTCTCATTCCCATTTTGGGTACCCGTCAGAATACATTGTGTGGCTTGACTGTGTGGGATATAAAAGGCAAACATCGATGGTTGTGTTAGCAGTGTATACTTTGTAGGGCTCCGCTCTTGCCAACGGCAGCAACATGAACTCCAGCACTATCTTGGATATTTTTCGGACACCGCCAGCGGGTAAACTAGAACGGACTCTCTCGATTGTCACTGGAGAGTGGCAGCAGCCCATTCATTTCATACCCGATTCGCCCATCCTCTGTAGATCCGGTGAAGCTGCCCATCTACAGCTCCCCGCTGGTGTGTCTGCTGATCGTGCTGGGATATCTGGTCTTTGTGCTCAAACTGGGACGCGACTTTATGGCCAACAGGAAGCCGTACAATGTGCGGCGAGCGATGCTGGTGTACAACCTCTGCCAGATCCTCATGAATATCGTCCTCTTCGGCTTGGTAAGTGGTGCTTCAGGGGCAGTGCTCAGACGTATCTAACGTATCTATCCATGAACTCTGCCAGGGATTCCACTTATTGTTTGTGCGACGAATCTATAATCTGCGATGCATGACCATGCTGCCACTGGAACATCCGGATAAATTCCGAGAGCGACTGATCGTCTACGCGTACTTTATCAACAAGTTGCTGGACCTGTTGGACACCCTGTTCTTTGTGCTGCGCAAGAGCTACAAGCAGATCACCGTGCTCCATGTGTACCATCATGCGTTGATGGTGCTGGGCCCGGCCCTTGTCCTCCACTTCTTTGGGACCGGGGGACAGTACTGCACGATGGGTGTCCTCAATTCCTTCGTCCATATCGTGATGTACAGCTACTACTTTGTGGCCGCCCAGTATCCGCAGATCAAGGGCAAGCTGTGGTGGAAACAGTACATCACCAAGCTGCAGCTGCTGCAGTTCGTCATCCTGGCCCTGCAGGCCGCCCTGGTGCTGTGCTTCAATCCGGGCTGCGCCTTTCCCCGCTTCCTGCAGTACCTACAGCTGGCTGTATCCGCCTCGATGATGATTATGTTCGGGAACTTTTACTACCAGAGCTACATCAAACCAAAGAGCAAATCGCAATAATTAACAATAAATTACAGCCCATTCTGTGGGGCTCTCTCCACTCAAAGACGAGTTTGAAACGTTTGAGTTTGAGTGAGGTTCTGATTCTAGTTCTGGTTCTTTTTTTTTTTTGGGCTCTCTAGCTGAATTCCTCTCTTTGAACAGTGTCTCCCTCTCTCTCTGTGTAATGTAGAACAGAGAGCGCAGTTCAAATATTTGAATAATACATCGTTTGAATTGATTAACTTATACAAATTCAGTTCCGAATGCCTTTTAGTATCTTCGAACAGTCACCAGGCGCCGTTCGGCCGACAATCAACGATAGCCATGACGTTCGGTATCTTCGATATACCTCAAGGAGGTGCGAGACATGTTTTCGAGTGCTAGTTTTTATTCTTCACTAATTGTTTTCCAATTCACAGATCCGGAACCCATTCTCCTGGCCAGTTCGCCATGGCCCATGATCATCATTCTGGCTGTCTACCTGCTCTTTGTCCTCAAGCTGGGCAAGATATATATGCGAAACCGAAAACCTTATGACCTGAAGCGTCTGCTGATGTTCTACAATCTCGGCCAGGTGGTCTACAATGGCATCTACTTTGGCGTTGTGAGTACCAGCACTGCAGGCGTCTTGTATCAGCCGATTGATTGGACTTTGCTTTGGTTTCAGGTCTTCTACTACCTCTTCATCGAGGGCATCTGCAATCTGCGCTGCATGGAGAGTTTCCCGCCCGGCCATAAGCACCGACAGCTGGAGCGGGTGGTGCACACCGCTTACCTTGTCAACAAGGTGGTGGATCTGCTGGACACCGTGTTCTTTGTGCTGCGCAAGAGCTACAAGCAGGTCAGCTTCCTACACATCTACCACCACGTGTTTATGGCCTTTGGTGGCTATGTGGTGACCCGCATCTATGGCACCGGGGGCCACTTCAACTCCGTCGGACTGCTCAACACGTTCGTGCACACGGTCATGTACTTTTACTACTTCCTGTCCTCGGAGTATCCCGCCGTGAAGGGCAACATCTGGTGGAAGAAGTACATCACCCTGACGCAGATTGTCCAGTTTGTGCTGCTCTTCAGTTACTCCTTCTACGTGCGCTTCCTCTCCCCCAACTGTGCCGTTCCCAACAGCCTGCTCTATGTGAACATGTTCCAGGGCATCGTCTTTATGTATCTGTTTGGCAAATTCTATATCCAGGCGTATGTGCGACCTCCTTCTGTCCAGTCCCAGTCCGAATCCCAGTCACAGTTACAGTCTCAGTATCAGCCCCAATCCCAGCCACAGTCCATGCAGAAGCAGAAGCTGTCGTAAGCAGCACAATGTGGACTCGAATATACCCTGTTCATTATAGCAATATATGCGCATATCGATCAGACATAGACACAGTTCGATGGGCTTGCAACTAGCAACGACCCCACTTAGTTACGGCCCAAGCAGGCTTTGATTTCTGGACTTTCGACACATTTAGCAGAATAAATAAAACTATGCTAATGGTACAATACAATACAATACCATATGCTATCATCCCACAATAGAATCAATCTTTTTCCTTGGAATAAACTCCTCTACAGCCAAATGCAGGATCTCTGAGACAGAGGTGTTAGCTAGGCACTTTATATGTGCCTTATTTACCACTTGGAAAGGGAAACAAACGCACGTGTTATGCTTTCTACAATGCTACTCATCCATATGTATGAGGCCGCCAATTAAATGTATCGTAATTGCTGGCATACAATGAGGCGCTCCATTAAGTGGCTCGAGGTGGATGGAAAAACACCTTGGGCCTAGGAGGCGTAGTGAGAAATTGTGTACATTTCGTGGCGGTTAATTGAACGGCGTCCTGCATTTCATGCATACAATTATGCCCTTCTTTGTGTTCAAATTCACGAAGCAATCCCACAAATTGTTCTTCAAAATATCTAATAGTATTTCTACAAGGAAATCTTGGTAAGTCTTTCTTTATACCTTAACTGGTGTTGAAACAGAAGTGATCAGACATTTATTTTCGTATTCCAGCTTAAACTCAACGTTCCAGCCGCAGAGTGGATTGGTGGAATTTTTCTTGTAGAAGGTACACAAATATCCCGATTGCTCATCAACTTTGTAAAAGACAAAGATGAGAACGGTTATCCGGTGAGTGCACCGTAGAGCAGAGCCGTTTAAGCATCGACAATGTGGAAAAGTGCATGCCGGAAAAACAACTTGGGGCAATCAGCCATACTCCTTGCCTTCTACGCACACACCACGCCCCCTGTCCCCTGGTGAATGTTGCTTTTGCTCGTTTGTTAGCACGTTGGAAAGAGCTTCACTTGATAAGCATAAGAAATGGTGGAGGCAAGGAAACGAAACTAGCTGTCTGCAACAGTGTGTCTGTGCAACGAGTGAATGCACATAACAAGGTTCTGCTTGTTCTCCTGCTTTCACACCCCTAAAGATGGTGGCGCCATAACTGTAGCTAAAGTTCGTGTGGCACGAGCCAAACTAAAGTCGGACATTTTCGCGCCATACATACGTCTGAATGTGTCTGTGGTGTCTGCCCAGTCCAATGCATCCATCCCACATAAGACCCTCTGTGTGGCATTCAAGATTCACTTGTGGTAACTGCATTTGCTGCCCGGGAAAAACGAAAACAATTGCCGCAAATATGGCAAATGGCAAATGGCAATTGAAAAACAAAAGTCTCTGACTGGATGATACGAGTTGCAGGACCTGGAAGCCGTTTGCTGGTACGCTGGAGCGCCAGCACAAAAGGCCACTGAGGACAAGGACATGGCTAGAAAAGCACTGGGTAAGAATGCGGAGAAGGCGGAGGTGGTGGTGGCAAAACCCAATGGGAAAGAGAAAATGCAGCAGCAGTGAAATGAAAAAAAACAACGCACAAAATTGGCTGTGAAATGAACGAGGCGACGCCTCGTCTGTCTCTTTTCTGTCGCTCTTTTATCTAGAAAGGGTAAATTACGCGGGAGGATAAATAGAAGACAGGAAAGGGAGGAAGGGAGGACACAGGCCGATCTGGGGCCGACAAAGTTAAATGCAAATCCCACCGGAGAGCCTCAAGTCAACAAAGACTGCAAAAAAGGAGAGGAAAAGGGTGCCAGAGGGTTTGTAATGCCTTCAGTTGAAGCAATGACAGACACCGAGATTACTAACTACTGTTTCCAATCAATTGCACATACAAATGACCCAAGGCAGCAAATTAATTGAGCCAATGCCCTAAACATAGATTCTGTCATCTCTAAACACGCAAATAAGTTGTGTTTAATTAGAAATGCTCTTCAATTCCGACTCACTGAGCAAGCGACTAACGTACCGCACAGCAAATGTTACACACA